GTGGCAGTGAGAGAAGTAAGAACTCCAGGAATATATATATATTGGATAACAATTCAATGGTCAACGTTAAAGAACACGAAACCTAGGGAAGAACCCACAATCGCTGAGCCGGTAATAAGCGGACAAATACCAAAAACGCAAAGTCTTCCACGAAGATCGAGACGGACAAAATATCAAACGCTGAAATACGGAATGTCAGACACGGAAGGAGGAGGTGGTGTTGTGTCCAATCGAGTGCAAATGGACCATGCAGTCGGCCAATCAGATAGCACTGACCTTCAAGCGATCGATAGCACATGGGGGCATCGGCTGCCTGTGCCGTGTGTACTGAGAGTTTTCCGTAACGTTACTTGAAGCGGTTGCTCTAATAAAGCTTACTTACTACTGGTATTTTCCGTCGTTCTTGAATACAACAACACCGAAGTACGGCTGGAACAACCGAAAAACATATGGAAAGACAACGGTTGGCGGCATGCGTTTCGGGAACATCTTGTCATCGTGACCGCAGCAAACGCACGCCGACGTTTCAACATCACTACAGGTGGCCTGCGCTGCACCATTTGCGGTTCCACTGGCACACAGCATATCCAACGTTAATCCGAAGGATTAACACCAGGAAGCATGTGGGTAGAGGCCTTTGCGTACAGCCGGTCAATGTCGCTCGACCACGTAGTAGGCTAGTGGAAAAGTGGAACTTATCTCTCAGAAAAAAAGATAAAGACTCCAGTGATGAGATCTAAACTGGGAAGAACTGTATTAAAGATATAAGATAAAAAGTACGTACTGTTGCACTCTAGATATGATGGGGAACACAAATAAAAAATTAAACTGGAACCGATAAATAAACTAGCATACAACGTAGCAAAAGGGCTGGAAAGCAAGAAAGACAGAAATATCATAGCTTGAGTTTCTGTAAAAGAGAGTGAGTGGTTCATCAAGCGATGTTGGTCATTGGGTTATACGAACGAAAACATAGATAACATACATAACTTATTTGCACCTAATGTACTCGTTGCCTGTTCCCTGACGGTGTGTTATGAAAGCACTGATGACCAATCGACTCGAAGTGGCCAAAACATTCGCGGCCGTATTCAGCTTAACGTCGCCACAATCTGTGGCGCTTAACATTATTTTGCGAATTGTACAATTCACTTCACGGCCGCACAACTGTCACCCGTTGAATCTTCGGATGCTCGTCCAGATTGTATTCCTCCAAACCGTCCGGTTCAAGGCCTGATCCTCGCATGATCTAAATGAAGTATTAAAACGCGATAGATTTACTTGGATAACATCCTGGTAACACAGTTTTTCAACACCAGGATTCCGCTCATTTGGTTTCATTCGCCCGAACAGCAGGTGTTTCGGAATCCATTCGTCGCTCATCCGAAGAACGTCTCCTAGCCAACAAATCTGTTCGGGCATGAGCATCACTTCAATCCCATCCTTGTCCGTTCACCCTACTACTTCAGTGTCAGAAAGTAT